GCGCACGATCGCGAGAAGAACTCGGATCGTTGATTTGGAAAACTCAAATCGAATCCTGGCGTGGTCACTATCTTTTGCCACTTCGTTGTCCAGTCTCGAGTTGGCATGTTCCCCTGAGAGCATGTGTACACCTCATTCATGGCCGCTTTCACGACGTTGCGGACCATGAACCGGGTGAACCATAGCTGCTCGAACTCCTTCCACGTGATGTGCGTGTGGAGTTCGGCGATGGTGCACTTGTGGGTGGCCGCCTGGTGGTTCATCCATGCCTGCGCTCCTCCAATCAATTGCAAATAGAGTGCGTTCAACATGTCATTCGCCAGGACAGTGCGGCATGACGCTTCCGTGAGGAAACGTTGCCACCATGTCAAAGCGTCCGACTTGTTGTAGTCGTCGAACTTGCAGATGTCGAAGTGCGGCATCTTGAATGTCTTTGTAGCGGCGTCCGGTCTCGTCTGTAGCTTGGTGATGTCCGTCTTGAGGGCGGCCACCGTGCTACTGATCGTGTCCGGTCCGTTGAAAACACCTATGTCGCCGATGATGGTGACGACGTGATCGATGCGTTCATTGATTTGCTTCGTCGCGTCCGTCGTGCAGCCTGGCGCTGCTGAGGCCTTGGCCTCAATGCCGTTGATGCGTGCGATGGTAGAGTTCATCAACTGTTGCTGTTGTTGCTGCTGCACTGCTGCGTCGCGGACGTCGGCCGTTACCGCGGCCAGGTCTTGCTGGTACTGCTGTCTTTGCTGACGATCCGCGTGCAGGTGTGCCTACAGTAGTTTATTGTTCCACATTACTCCCCTCATTACGTTCAACATCACGGTAGCCAGGTTACTTCTCTCTGCCTCCGCCTGTGTCGGCTCCGCCTGCKTTTCCGTAGGCACAAAGATCATGCCTTGGAGTACCGTTGTCCACTGATGCTCACTAGCAATCAGGGACTCCGTGCTGGCGGCATTCCGTCTGTTTCGTGCCACTTCGTCAGTCTCAGCTGTCCGCTGAGCTTCGGCTGCCGCCTCATTGGCCAGCCGCTGACGTTCTGCCTCTGCCGCAGCCTGCTGAGCCTCGGCGGCGGCTACGGCGTCTGTAAATGCCTGTAGCCGCCCACGATAGTCAGCCCAAGAATCGCTGGCCTCTCGGACCGGGCATGCGGGAAAATCTCCGGTGGTGTCTTGCACTATCAATGCCGTACTTGATGCCGCTGGAGTCGTCCGTCTGCTGAATCTCTTGAGTCTTGGAGGTACCGCAGGGCGGGCACGAACTGGGATCCTGGCACTGCGTCGTGGCAGTGCCCCGGTGTCCTGTTCCGTCAACATCAGTCTGAACTGATGCGGTACTTGAGAGGTGCCGGTGTTCACAGACTACAGGGGGGGTAGGTAGAGTGGGGACAGGGGTAGAACAATCAAGCAATATACATACAATCCCCTGTCCCACTGATGGACTGTAGACACCTAATCAAACAGGAAAAAAATAAATTTCCCGTAAACCCTTCAAAAAATTCGTAATAAGGAATTAATAACGATTTAATCAATAAAATTAATTAATGATAATTAACGAAATAAATCCGAATAGTAATCAGTAAAACAATGTTTGTAATAAAGATAACCAATTAATGATAATCAGTAAAACAATGTTTGTAATAAAGATAACCAATTAATATACGAATTTGAAAGGTATTATGATTGGGTCTCTTTGAGATCACTTTGAGTCCGGGAGTTCACCGTTACTGAGTGAACTACCCGGAAGTTGCAGTTTGAGGGTCAGATACGGCTTAGTGTGCTAAAAAAATTTCGGAAAAATTCAGAAGAAAAAACGCTCGAATTTTCAAAAACGCAAATTTTCGGGAATTTCCACCGTCAAAATCCGATTTTTAAAAGCCTAAACCTATTTTCGGAATTTCTCAAACAAGGAGA